CCAAGACTTCAATGGAGTAGAGGTATATTTGCAACAATATTTGCCAGTTCAAGCAGATGCTACTGGTATTTGTAAATGAAATGTGGTGTTGACCGTTATCGACATGAAAGGGGTTAACATTAGCCCGTTTCTCTCCAACGGTGTTCATAACAAAGTCGGGTATTTCCCTCCGAAATAATCGGCATCGCGTGGAAAATGATGTGAATTAATTCAAATACATATTTATAAACAGGCGCAACCCTTTTGTTGAAACGACAGACTCTTGGAATGGGCGGACAACAAATTCCTTCCACTTCTCTTACAGTCTCTATTCACGCTTCGTACTTATTTACTTGCTTTCACAGGTAGGCGCCTAGTCGATTAGCGTTGTCTGTTGTATTGTTAGTAGCGTACTGTGAGGAGCAATATGTGAAATAGGCAGGAAAGGAAAATATGGCATGTATTGTCACGAAAACAGATGCCCGAATAAACTCTAAAATCACATAAGACTCGAATAACAGAGACGATGCAGAAGAAAAATCCAGAAATGACAGACCAAACACATATATAACATCGAATTACAGCTTAGTCCAAAGGTTTTTTTTTACGAAGGAGTGTCATTAACCCTTCAAAGCCCAGTGATAACTACACGTACAGGCTGCATTAGCACCAGAATTTTCATTTTCTGTACATGGGTTTCGTACAACAGTCCCTGTAAATATCAATTACATCCTTAAGCATATTTAACCAACTGATATCTGTAACGGTTATGTGGTGTTTTCTTTGCGGTGCGGACTATTATTAGAAGCGCTTCGGTTTCAAAGGGTTAAAGTGATACATATTAATGTACATTCCTTTGATCTGTGTATTTAAAAAAATACGGAACGTTTGTTAAAATATACGACTTAATTACTTGGGTAGATTGGAAAATGCCAAACTCAATCTCGACCTGAATGAAGATTATACGCATTATACTTGTTTTTCGCTGAGTATATCAGGTCTAGACCTCGAGTTTAGCCCCTGATTTAAACTTCACTGCACAAAGTCACAAAGGTCACTGGTCTGAAGATATACATATATAATTTAAACTGTATGTTGGAACATGAAACATTACAATAAATTAATTATATGATGTTAAGGATTAAGATGTCACAATTTTTAGGTTACAATGGCACAAAACATCGGGGAAAAAAGTTTAAGATCGTCACTGAAATTCTGAATATTTAATTGTGAGCAAAAGTTCATGATTATAGATTTCTTATGTTTATAACTGTAGTAACAAACGTAAAATCTTACAAAACTAGGCTCAACCCGCTAAGATCATATTGGTAGCCCACTCGTTACGTCCATCCTACTTACACATATAATCGTTACACAAGCCTATTATCCCTGTCATTCCGCACAGTTCGTTCATCGTACTTCCACTTCTGAAGATTCCGTAAATGAGAAACCGATGAGAATATACGTTGCACCAAGACCTTAAATTAAACAATTTTGATATACAATCGTGTGAAATTAAAGATACTAATGTAAAATACTGTTTAAAATTACAGCTTCCACGATGAAACTGGAGAAAGTAGCATGCAGGCATTCTGTGCAAAATACAACGTCCAGCCCTTAAACAGAAAACACGTGAAAGGAAGTGGGAGGCATGAATACAATAAAAATCAAGTTACTTTTTTCGATCCCCGGAAGTGGTAAACCGAACAAATTGGCAGCCAACACTCTACACAAAGCTCCAATGTGGTTTATGCTTCTCCCAAAAGAAACCACATGAACATATAAGTCAGCCTAAACAGAAACGATTTTAACAAAATAATGTGAAAAACACCGTATGAAGAATGGAAAATTGTCAATAAAGTATGACTCAACAAAGTAAATAATAAAAATAAATAAATCTGTATTCGTTCCTACCCACAGCTAAAAACAGCAAATCCCTGCGCGCTTTGTGCACGAAGCGAGGCTCTGGAACCGAAAATGTCACGCACTTCTCTCCAATGTTTCCGGAATTCTCGTTGCCGAATAGTTTAAAATGCGTCCGTGTACTCAGTAACCACACCACTGACGGATTTGAAGGTTAATACCAACGTTTCGGAGGAAGATACTGTTTACATCTTCAGGGCTATGTGGACTTGGAACTGTAGGTAGATACCAACGTTTCGGAGGAACAGGGTGTCTCCATTTTCAGGGCTGTGCAGACTTGGAGTTGCAGGTAGATAAAAAAGTTTCGGAGAAACAGATCATATCAAACTTCAGGGCTGAATATGAAGATACGGTGTTACAACCCATTAGAACAACACTAACACAGCATGATTTCTTGTGTCAGTTCTGAGTATATGAGGATTGAGACAGTATGTTTCTCCGAAATGTTGGTGTCAAAACATACAACCAAGACGACGAACATCGAAAACTTCGCCGCCATGAGAACTTCAACTCTCTTCCACTGTTCTGTTTTGTATTGGCTTCTTTTTCACTGGAGACTGATCCAGTCCATATAAACGTTCATTACATTCACCGCAAAATGGTTGTTATATCCGCTTGCAAAATCTAACGATTAAACATGAAGGCTGTGTTTGTTACTAGAGACGATCGACTGTTCAAAGTAAAATAAAATCCACAAATGTTATGACTATTATAACTGCGACTAAAACTTGTTGAAATCCGTAACAACATAAAACGACCCGGTCAAAATGGATTACAAGCCACAGTTGTTCCGAAAAGACACTGAAACACTAAACTTCTAAGCCGTATAGTGTAGCAGATATCGATCTCAACTCGTACGCCGATTAACGCTATCGAAGGCGATCTCAGATCTCGCGAATTCAAGAAATGACGACGATGTGTGCGACACGCTGAAACGCGCAGGCTGATCAAAACAACGCCCCAGCAATAAGCTTAGACCATCACAGTTCCCATTCTGTAATTATAAGAAAAAACATTCCTCCGAGGAACGTCACGACATGAATAAATGTTTTAAGAGTCTATCAACTACTGCATAGGCTTTCATACTAAATAAAGCGTCTTATCATCATTAGTGGGTCTACACGGGAACATTTGCTGCCAGACCAAAGTCAAAGAGCTTTCGATGTGCTAGACCACCAAAACATCCTCCTGCCTCCCGCTTGTCAGTCTCCCCAGACCCCCAGTTAACTTTTTTCCACATAACTATTAATCTCCATCTCATTTCAGGTTCATAATTAAACGTGATAGTTGGCTTCCGTCGAAGGCACATTTGTCTTTATGGAACACACATGACAGGCGCACATGAAGAAGGAATTACCTCCAGCAAGATTCGACAGAGCAACTTATCATCAAGGCACAGTTGCGTTTAAATTCTTTTAAAAGTAAATCTGTAGGCGCTAGACACTTACTCCTTATAAAATGTGCCCTCTCTTGCCATGTACCATAGTCTTGTTCGTTTGCTACTCTCATACTTGTTCATATGAGCAAAAACCACTAAAGGCTATATTCAGTCTCTGTATTTCGACCCCCATCGCCCTGATGATGGAGGCAGCAAGGACCTTTGAATCATAGGCAAACAACTACCAGACTACACGGCGTTACAGTCCAGAAGTAAATCATTTTCTTCTGTAATATATTTTTAATACGAAATGCACTTCAGCAGTTAAGGAACTTTATCTAAAGTTGTTAACTGCATATGGTTTAAAATAAGTCATCAGGTCTGTTCTGCGCTGATGGCTGTTATTGGGTGAAGTTATAAATATCACAAGGAGAAACACGAAAGGTGTATTAGGTGCTAGTGATTGATTTAGAAATAAAAGCAAAGAAAAGTCAATACATGTTCATGTTAGAATAAAGGACAAAAAATAAAGGTTGCTAATATATCCATCAGAAAGAGATCAAGATTTCATTCAGGAAGAAATTAAGAACAAATTAACGGAGGGAAAGAATTGCTACAGTACAGTTCGGAATCGTTTGTCTTCCCCTTTGCTATCTAACGACGCAATTTTAAATGCTGCATGCTTATGGATGTCTACGAAACTTGCAGCCTCAAGAGATGGCAAGAACACAGGCTGTTAGGTGATAACGCGGTGCTAAAAGGAATATTTCTATGTGACTAAACGTCAAAAGAGTGAAAAACACTGCGCAGTAACGAGTTTAATTATCTGTGCTTTTCACTAAATATTAGAATGACATAATATTAGCTACTGGTGGTAAGACAATTTATGTAACTAAGCAAAAACGAAAATTGTCATAAAGCAAAACGCACAAGCTACAAACAATACCACTTAAAACATCCACTATCTTACTATTTGTAGAATTAATGAAACATAAAAGAAAAAGAAACATGTCACACAGATGGGCGTCAT